ACTGGCAACCAATGCAGCATGCATCTCATCCACCTCAGAGAGTCTGTACAAAAGCATGAAAGCATTAAAACACCTTAATATACAATGAGTAATAAGAGGCTTTTATTTTGGAAAAAATGAGTGTTAAAGGAATCTTGTGTGATTGGTTGATTCTTTTACCTGTTTGTCTTCCAACAGTCTTGAACCAGCCATCATTTCTTCATATTTTGAAAAATAGGGACATAGATTTAGTAAATTGTATGCAAATATTCATTGAAATACAGCACATAAGGAATTAGTACAAGTCAGTATTTTCTTGTAATTTCATCAAGAGTTCTCCAGGCCTTTTGAAGGACATTCAAAGCTCTTCTGTGGATTTTTGCAGCCTCTTGATCTGCGCTAGTAATTTAGAGATGGGCTCCGGGGAGACCAATCCATGACTGATGGCGTTCTATTGCGTGTTCTTCTATCCAGGTTTGTTTTTACTGCATTATCAGTGTTTGGAATCATTGCAGGACCAAAAAATGAAGCCATTGTTAGTCAGATGCTTTAAAGATGGACGAGATTCATCTCTCATGGCTTGTATAATAACTTCACTGGAATTTCTTCCTACGTCTTATAGTATTTCAGATACTGCTCATCAACTGTAAATTGTTTTTAAGCCTCTTTTTAAGAACTTCCTTTGAAGGACTTTTTTTTATAAGGTTTGGACTGTAAACAAGTTGAAAAGCAGCTAATGTAAAAGAAAACATTGAAAGAGCTCCATAAAGTCTGGAGAATTATTGCACCATATCGCTTAAAGAATTTACAAGAAAGCCTGTCTCCTTGGAAGCCAAATATAACGAAATGAGGGGTGGATCAAAACTTTTCCACAATGTTGTAACTGTTTCACATCAATAAACCGTTATGGTAAATACACATTCATCATTACAACCCTAATTCACATATTCATGTTTATTTTTTTGGTTCGTGCCATGAATTTCCACTCATCAGCTCCCCTTGTGCTGATGTATAAAAATCTGTAGACAGTAAAACAGAACTGTTGAAGCAAACTGTTTCATTTTTTCCCTTTTTCTTCTCAAGAAGAGAAATTTGCACAAAAAAAGACCCAAAACCCAAAAGAACTGTGTCAGCAAGAAACAAGAGAAGAACTAAAGATCAGTCATGGCAAAAGGTGGAGCTTGGATTGAGTAATGCTCCAAGAACAGAAGTTAAGAGGATCAAAGGTTACAGAGAACAAAGCTGAAACATGTGAATGTATGGAGTTACTAATCAGCCACTTTCAGTTGCTGTGTAAAAAGTCAAAAGAAGTGGAAGCGCAGTGAAAAAGATGTTAAAATCCTGTTTTTTTATTTGTCACATCCTCTCAATTCATGCACTAGTTACTGTACATCCAAGAATAGATGCCTCTAGACAGACACGCAACAAAAGCAGAAATGACACATCAGTTTAAACAGAAAATTATGAAGTGGTTACCGACAGAAGCAAAGTGTCAAAATAGTGCTTAGACAGTGACTAATGGGTTTACCCCGAAGTGAGCATGTGGTTTCACTATCAACGAACTAATCACCCTGTGTCTTTAAAGTGTGTGACAGTGCTAAAAGTTCATTTTGGTGGAGTCTTGCTTCCAAACAATGTTTTCATGACTGCATTGTCAGGGATACGTGCTAGCCGGACAGCTTCCTCTGCCATTGTGCTGCCACTGGCGCGTGTTGCTGTGCAGCAAACATGCAGCGCCCTGTGAGTCAGCTGGCATCGAATCAAGCCGGTAACACTGATTACAGCCTCCAAAAGTTTCTTACAGTCACCAGAACGTCCTGGTATCCAGCAGGAGACGAGCACTGAAAGCTAATTTGGATCAGTGCTGCCAAAAATCCTTATGTGATTACACTCAAAGCAGTAGGCCCAGGAAAACATTAGTGTTATTCACTATGCAGACTGGGACCAGAAGCAAGATAAGGAATTAGATAAACCAGATCTCAGGATGTTGTTATTCTATATCTCTGCTGTTGACAAATCGCATGCCTGTGTACCTGATAGAGCTTACTGTCTAAAATAGGGGTTTGTTATTGTACAGAAACATTTAATTGGAAGCCACTCTGTTGCTGTGGGTGTCATTCATAGTGCTTGAATGACTGCTGTAGAGGCAATCAGCAGAGGCATCATTACTTGAGAAATGTTCAGCAAATAAGAATTCACTGAGCAGCATGAATTTAGAAGACACTGAGCGGAGGCCTGAATTCTCATAAATCTGCTATCATCTCCTCGGTCTTTGAGGTGTCCAATGAAGTAGGTTTTGTGAGTCTAGTCACTGAAGGGTATTGAAATTTTATTGGATACACACTTTAATATTTACTTAGTTTATGAGCACTTTCAAAATCCACTGAAGTCAGATCATAAAATTGCATCTGTTACTGCAAATCTATCCCAGAAAATTCCAGGTACAAGATGATCAGATGTGGGATTTTGGAGCTGAAGCGACAGACCTGTTATCCTGTTATCCTTTGGTGGGATTCAGACATTGTAAACATAACATTTGAAACAGGTGTCACAGTTAATGGTTACTGATAATTGATAGCAGTTTACTGACACACACTGACATTATTATCTAAGTATAAATCTACTCTTGAGCAATTTTCCTAGTAAGTGAAAGGTGGGGCTTGTAGTCACAATCATGACTAAACACCAGCTGCTCTCTGTGTCAAGGTTATAGTGAACTATTGAAAGATTTTTAATTGTCTGTTCGCTACTAATCCAATGTCGAGACCTTTAAATTCTGTGCTTTAAATCAGAAATCTGTTACTGTTTGAGTCACAATTCGACAAAGCAAAAGGTCGTTTACTTTCGAGGGTTTGCACGCTCACGCGGTCTGGACTGTATTGATGTGATTTGCTTGGTCTTCAGCACTTTAATATCACCGCGTCATAGAAGGTAACCATCAATCTGAACCTTCTGAGATAAGTGTAGTCACCTTTATATCAATAGAGTTTTATTGGCTGTTCTCTGTTGAGATTTCATTGGATCTTATTGAATAACACTTTAGTGTTTATTTAATTTAAGAGCACTTTCAAGATTTGCTGAAGTTATGTCATAATACTGCATCTATACAAGAAAATTCCAGGGACAAGATAATCCGCAGCGGGACTTTGGAACTGGAATAACACAGAGACATATTATCCCAGGATCTGAACATTGTAAACATTTGAAACAGGTGTCACAAATAATTGTTAGCAGTTTACTAAAAAATACTCATATTATTACCTGAGTATTAATTATTCTAGTCTTGAGCAATTTTCTTAGTAAGTAAACGGTCGTGTTAGTGAGAAATATGACTGAACCACCTACAGCTCTCTCTGTGTCGACGTCAGAAGCACATGCTTCCACAATGTGTTTTCTTTTCAAGATGAACATTTCTTTTTTCTTGGCTTTTCATGTCATTGTCGCAGGTGTCAAATTTCAAAGTTTCGCAAAACATTCATTTTTGGGGGGAAAGTGAGGAACATGATCCTGTTTCTCACATTTCTGTCACTCTAAATCTCTCGGGTTCTTATCAGGTCAGTATCTCCAGTGGCTTGATTGCTTTTAACATCTCTATTATTGGAACTGAGGTTTATAGCAAGAGGAGTCAGGACCTTTTGTTATCTTTGGTTTATCTGCTGCTCTAAACCACTTAAACCAAGCTACTGCTAAGAATACTGCACACACTATGCCTGTGACACACACAGCCAGACACGCACATATCACTTTATCTTAGATTAGGAGTGGATTCTTGGGAACTTGCTGGTCATGTGAACAAGCTTGCTAAAGGCAGCAGCAGAAAAACATCTATATGACACAAAAGCTCAAGGTTTACTGGAAAATACGAGCGAGCACAACAAATAAGAAAGGCCCATACCCAGGAAAACACCTGTATGACTGTGGGTGTGTAAGTGTGCAAATATCACAGAAGACTTGCAGAGGAAAGTTATGTAAATTAGTCAAATGTGAAAATATGGGTAAGAAAGTGTTAAGCAGACCTTAGAAAAGATACAAATTTTCCTGTCAGGTTAACAAAAAAAGATGCTGAGTTAGCTTTACTGCCAACAATATTATTACGCACAGCATCCTGTAACATTAATGGCCCTTTGTGCTGAAACTGATCAAAAACAGCGATCCATTACTGTGTCGTTTCAAACAAAGCTCTCGGGTTCACCACCAGGTTGTTGTCTTTCAGATTTAAACACCTCCAGAGGCCCTTTTCCGGAGCCACCGAGGACACCAGCCAGAGACAGGAGTAGAGCGGGAGTCAGGATCCTCTGCTTTCTTTCTTCTTGCTCTGGGCTGCATCCTGAGGCCACGCAGGCGGCGGCTGGAAATAGCCCAGACATTCAGGCCAAGTCGGTGCAGAGTGCTCATGGTGTCGTCTCCTCTAAGGCTTCCTCAATCAGCAGAGACAGAAGAGGATGCAGAACAGGAGCCAGACACAGATCAAGCTCTTCTGGGTGGGGCAGGCGACAGCCATGTTTGCAAGTGTGTTGGTGTATCTGTGTTTTCATGAATACTTTGTACATGTGAAAACATGCTGAGAGGAGACAAGGGAGTGGAACTTGTCAACTTGGCACAGCTCTTTCCCCGCACCGTAACCCGAGGCATTCACTCAAGCACTGTATTTAAGTACTTAAGGTACTTTACAGTACTGTACAGTAATTTAATATTCTATGTTAGAATATTTTAAAGCTCCATAGATAGATGGATGGATAGCTAGATGGATGGTAATGTCAAACTTCATTAAAGGTACTTGTTACCCTGCACTTTGTTCTTCATAACTGTACCACATTTCAAAATTTAGAGCTGACTCTCTAAAGCAGAGGTCTCCAACTCCCGGCCTCGAGGGCTGCAGGTGTTAGATGTGTCCTTGGTCCAACACAGCTGATTCAAATGGCTAAATGACCTCCCCAACATGTCCTGAAGTTCTCCAGAGGCCTGGTAATAAACTAATCATGTGACTCAGGTGTGTTGACCCACAGTTATATCTAAAACCTGCAGGACACCGGCCCTTGAGGCCTGGAGTTGGAGACCCCTGCTCTAAAGTAAAGAGGGAAGGAAATACTTGTTTTTACTCCAAGTTAATGTAAGTTTTACTTCCTCTTTTAAAACATGCATTTTCTAAGTAACCAACCATTTTAATGCATTGGCAGTCATCTACAAAAAACTATTTTTAAACTGTTACTTTCAGCAGGTGACTGTGCTCGTTGAAGTCCATGAAACGAAAGCTTGTTCCTGTTCTGTGACACTTTATTTAACACTTCCTTATTTTGCTGTCTTACCTCCTGAGTTACAAGATGATTCTGTAACTCGAACCTTTTATGAATGTAATTTTTTCCTCTCATGCGTATTTTATAAGCCTTTTAGTGCTGATGTAATTTAGAAATGTGTTTTAGTATACAGTGGCATGGGGGAAATGTGAAGAATGCTGCACACTGTTTGTCAATTAGTTTTACTTTTATCAGTAGTTAAGTACTGGATTAAAAGAATACTTTTACAGAGTTTCAGGGATAATTCATATAAGGATGGGATTTGTGTCTGAACATATAATGATAATATATCTGCTAACACCAGCATGCCTTCAATTTAACGTAATGGTGTTTTGCACAGACACGTGTTCCTGCTAATTGTGTAACATGTAAATAAAGCAGTGCATTAGACTCCACCAGTGCTACCGCTTGTCACTGATGGTGTTCATGAGTTTTAATGGGCATCATTTCTAAACAAAACCAAGGGGCTGTCACAGGTAGGCAAGAAATAGATTCAAATGCACGATTCCCAGGCAGACTGGCTAAACTGGAAACCAGTCAAATACAGAAGTCCATGACTAAAGAGCAAAATCCATGAATACAAAGAGACTGGGAAATCCAAAACAGCTGTTTTGCACATACAATAGAGATAAATAGATACAAGACAAAGTACAAAGATATGCACAGACATGCTGAGGACTAATCGGGGAGATTGGACAGACCAGAGTAACAAGACACAGCTAATCAAGGTAAATGAGAGGAAGTAAATCTGGTAAAACAGGCCAGATAGACGACTATCAAAACAAAACACAGAGTAACTACCAGGGTAGAGAGGTGGAGGGTGTCTGGTCTCAGGATCACATTTTTTGTTTTGTTATTTTTGACAGTGTGGCTTTATTGTTGACGTTATTGAACGATAACCACAAATTTATATTAGTGTGGTTAGCGGTTAAGTATGAAGCAGCTGGGATGTGATTTACCATCTCAAAGTGAAAGGCTCTGGTTTTCTGGTGCTTTGTGGCTGCTGTACCAGTCTGTTGCAGTCAAACCTGAGTGAGAAGATGAAAACAACCAGTATGAAGGTTGTTTTGTGTCCCTGCTCTCACATATGGCCAATAACTGTGGGTGCAATAAGACTGTGGACACAGGAGAAGCGTTTTTTTCCTCTGAAGGATGAGAGTAATGGCATTATTAAAAAATTTTAAAGTGCACATTAAAAACAAAAGATTCACCCTTTGTAGAGTGGTTATGATGGGGGAACATTTGTAGGGTATCTGAGGGGTTTGCAGTTAGGACATACCTGTGGCAAAGATAAAACACAGAACTATGACTCCACAATGAGGAGCTTTACATTTGCAGTGCCTTTTTGGCCTTTTTAAAAAGAAATAAAACTTAATTTTAAAAATAAATAAATAAATAAATGCTTAATGTTTTAAGAATATTACTAATTATCCCAATCTGAAAGCCAGATATAACAGAATTAAGGCAGTTTGTTCTACTGCTGCGTGTTTTGAAGTCACTGTGGATAAGACTGTCCGCTTAGAGTTTTAAAGTAAACAGAGGGGGTCAGTGTTTACAGCTCGTTCACACTTCCCTCGTGGCTGTTTTCCAGGAATCTCTGTTCCCTGTTTCTGCATTTGTGCAAATAGATGAGTTCTTTGCAATAATCCTTAAAACCAGTTAATAATCTCCCAACAGTAATTGTCTTATCTTGTCACATAATATGAGTGGAAGTTTACTTTTTTGTTATTTCCTTTGCTTTTTTTGGATGTTCAGATTCTGAAGAGTACCGCGCCACCTCCAACTGACATTGCAGTCCTCAGTCGGTGTGACCCTCCTGGGGCTGTGAGGTCAAGGCACACAAAAACATGCTTGATGATGCTTGATTCATTATCTACACTTGGTACAGTGATGTGTAAGAGATGATGAATGAGGACTAATAACGAGACAGAGAGAGAAAGGTGGCAGATATCAGGATAGAGGAAGTTACAGAAACACACACACACAAAACCTCTCTTCTGGTTCCTGTTTACAGTGTCATGATATCTATTTTCGTCCGCTGGTGCGAAGCAGAGCTTTCAACAATAGTGTAAAGACCTGCCGTTTAGACTGAAAACACACAAGACGGTCACACATGTTCTTATCCGTTTTCCTGTTTGTTAGCTCCGAGACTCATTTAAGATGTTCACAAACTTGCTTCCTTGTTCAGGCATTCGTTCATCAAGTGTATTGCTTCAAACAAAGACACAGCACTATCCAAAGTTTCACAAAAATTAGTGCGTTAACTTTCTTTCTAGTCGTTAAAGATTTAAGCTCTCTCCTAAAATCTCAAGTAAATGAATAAATCCCTGTCATCTTTGAGCTTTAATTCTATCCTCCCAATAAAAATATTCTGTCTAGTTTTACATTATATGGTACAGCACATATGATACCTTGCTGCACCAGCAGAGGACCGTGTGATAAAATGGAAATCTACTCAGTATCTGTGCATGGACTGGCAGAGGTTCTGTGCTTTCCCTTTCTTTTGTGACAAGCTTTGAAAAAAACAGAAGAAAGGGGAAAAAATGTCCTCACTCTATATTTGGAGGCAGGTCAAAGGTTACGCTGAAGAGTGCAGGTCACTAAATCAAGGAAAACATTTCAGTGCGGTGTTCTGTTCTGGCCCCACTGCCATCCGCCATGACGCTTGTTTATCCATCTCACTTCCTGTCCGTGCATGCTGGAGAGTGTGTGTGTGTGTGTGTGTGCGTATGTGTGTGTGTGCGAATCTTTATATGTTTGTGAGCACATTGCTCTGTCTCAGTCCGCCTCTCTCTATTTGTTTTTAATGTTCCCGCCATTCTCAGGCTCTCACAAGCACACAGACACTCATTCCAGCACATAAATCACAGCTCGGTGAAAGTGTCGGTTCAGAGCCGGGAGGCTGCGGCGTTCCAACGTCTCTATTGCATGAAGGGAAGAACTGAGGGGACAAACAATCAGGGACAAAAGGGAAACAAGCACACAGAACATAAACACACACTAGCACAAATTAAGTCACACAGGTAGGCACACATGCAGTTTAAAGTGCATGCTATTATATTGGTAAGTCCATAATTTCTTGGAGAAAAACACTATTTTTGTAATTCCGTCTCTGTGCACCACCGTTTGAAATGCAGACTTTAATTCAAGGGTTTGTTGGGGTTTTAGGAATTACAGCCACTTGTATACACAGTCCCCCATTTTCATAGACTTGAAAGTCATTGGCCAATTGACTGACTGAAGTATATCTATGGTCAGGTGAGGCCTGTTCCCTTGTTAGTCAGAAGAACAGGATGACAAATGACCGATGATTTCGGAGCAGGTCGGCAGTAGTGTGATCCCTGGATGATGCAAGATAGTGTGAGGGTGTGCATGAATGTTAGACAAGGCGTAGAAAACAGCTCTGGTATGCATGTGTGTATGACTAGGTAAACAAGCCGTGAAGAAAAAGGTGCTTAGTTAGAGCAGATATGTACCAGTGGATACAAGACAGTGCAGGGATTCATAAAACTCAAATTAAGACCATTATAATGTGTCACTGTAAGTATTTCCATCTATATATTCGAGCTCTGATTGGCTGTAGGCATTCAGTGTCATGACCTGATCAGAAATCATTTTTGGCCTGTCAGTCACGCCAACTTAAATTTCTCCTGAGTGACAGTCCTCACAGATCCATCCAGCCTTTTTTTCACACGAGGAAATTCTCCATTTTCACAGCCTGAAAGCTCAAATAACAGAATTCCTCAAATATCTCACTTTTGCAGATAATAATGTGACAAATGATGGTTTTCTTATCACCAAAATAAGAAAACTTTTACTTCAGCTGAACTTGGTCATACTGTATCACCTCTGTAAGCTCTGTTTAAACAGTGAACTTATACATAGTGTATAGATCAAAGGACAGAGAAAAGTGTACAGTTATTCACATTTTCACATGGAAGCTGTGGGTGCCAGTGTTTTGAGGCAATCAGCAAATCTGTTGAGTGTTTGTACTAAAAGCATGATTTGCTATAACCTTGGAGAAGCAACAAATCCATCATTTAAACCTCAAAGAAAAGGTTCTGTGGCAGTCGGGTTGTTGCTTTTACACAATGATAACCACTTAAAAAAAAAAATCCCCCTCACACAAATATGCCGTAACTGTCTGCTATGTTCTCTCTCATAAATCTAGCAGTAACCTGCTGGGGCCGGTGCTGTTCGCAAGATTGGATATATTGATTGGTTTGGTGATGTGTCCAAGTCTAAGTGTCCTTGAGCTGAACACCTAGTTGCTCTGGATGCCTTCCATGTTATCTGCAACACCAAACACCAAAAGCTAAAGTAGGAAAGAAGGAAAGAAACCACCATCAAGGTCAATTTTTAATTTTCAGAAAAATGAATATTGGAATTAAAATGCCAAAAAGCTGAAATTAGGAGGTTGATGGAGCAGACTAGAAAGCATATCTGTGTTTCACTTACTATTTGTTGTAAGTGAAACACAGATATGTTGCTTGTGTTGAAATCCATGCTTTTTAATCCAATTTCTGCTGTGGCTAAAGACGACGACAGCAGTGCCATTTGTACTTGTACTTTCTGACAGTCTCATTCAAACGGCCACCAGAGGTCACTTTCCTTCAAAACGTATTTGTCATAACTCGTGAAAATTGCGTGTACAAACTATTAATCATTTTTTGTGAGGGGACAGTTTCTGTTTTTGAAGATGAATTATCCCCACTTCCCCTTTCGTGTCGTGGAAGAAGAGGGAGATGCTGATGAAGAAATCACTTACCCCACTACGCTCTGCCAAACCTAAACCCAAACCCTCGCCCCCTCTTTCTCTTCTCACACAGCAGCCAGAGGCAGAAGCTCAGAGGCTGTCTGCTCGCTGCTTCAGAGGCACTGTTGCTATCTATTTTTAACCATGCTGCTTATGTACTGGGCAGAGTCAGCTTCGTGTGTTTTTAGTACTGAGCTTGACTTTTGCTTTAAGCCCGTGTTTCCCACTCTGCCACTGAAATAAGAGAGTCTCTGCTGGGCCTCTGCTTAACGCCAATGAGCCCACCTCAGGCCCTTGATCATTATTTTTACACCAGTGCTGGATATACACACAGAGTTTCGGGTTGTTTGTTTTGTCAGAAACATACAGTACTTGCACTTACACGTGCATGTCATGTCTTTGTCGTTTCATGCTTTAGACCATGAAGTGTTTATTAACGTTATGATAAATGGCTCGCAGCCATATTCAGAAGTGAAAAAAAAACCATTCATTCTCAGGGGAGGGGGCTGAATCTCACATTAGCATGTGGCTTTTTCACTTTCTCATGTACACTGCTGCTGCAGCTGTTTTTAATTGTGTTGCTGCATATACAACACTTGATATAGATGGGGTTTCTGACCTACTTTCACCTTCTGTATTGCATTATATTTATCGTCTCTGGCTCCCTCTCAGGTTAGATACAGAGAGAATCGGCCAGGCAGAATACAGGGAATTTGCCAAATGACTGTAGATAATGATGTTCCTTGAAACCTCATTAAAGTTAAGCGTGTTGGTGTTATTCGGCTGTGCTCATTTGCTTGTCAGCAGATGTGTAAAGCAGTAATGGATGGGTAACATCTATAGTACAGTCTGATTCTGTGTGCCTGGTACACCACAGCGCTCTAAATGAGAGCGTTGGTTATGGAGTCTGTTTTTATCAAACCCATATGTTGTTGTGGGGGGTTTTTTTTTCAATTCGGTTGTTAATTATAGTACTCTCCATCAGCAGGCTAACATCAGATACAACATTTGAAATGCTAAGTCATTAGCTAAACCTGGCAACTATTGAGACCTGTGCCAGGTAATAAATGTAGGGGTTTTTTGCCTGTTACATTGGCATTGTAGTTAGGGAAGGTTACTTCAAGCTGAGATCAGATGACTTATATTTAGGGGAGCAATATGCGGACCAGTGAAGGGTCAAACTGTTGGTAAGAATCCGAGCAGCCAACATGCCGATGCTGCCTTCAACTCCCTTCGTTCGCTTAGAATGACATTTCTAAGTTGCAAGCACCACTTCAACTGCTATGCCAGCCAAGTCCAAGGATGGGTACCGGTATCAATGGCACCGGTTCTGACATAAATGGTAACCAGACCGAAAAGCAGCGCACATTTCGGTGCTTTATTTCGGTGCTTTTTTTTTCCTGCGATGTCATACACTTTGGATTCCAGCCAGTAATTTTACCTTTCCAAGGATAGTAGGCGGGTCCAGGTACGTACGTTCTTTTAGAGCAGAGCTACAGATTAAAAATGCCCAAGGCGAAGCGGTCAAAGTCTGGCTGTACTTCACAGCAAAAGATGCAAACTCAGCAGCAACAAGTGCTTTAAGGTGTTACTGTGCAAAGGAAGTAACTCCTCGAATCTGATGAAACACCTGGTGACGCATAGCGTTTTTTTAAAAGCCGAAAAATGCACCGTATTTGATAGCTTGTTGCAAGACGTCACACCGAGCACATCTACTGCGGTGTGGTGCCTGTTATCGGACCTGGAGTTAGCAACATCCCCCAAGAACCCGAAGAGGAAAGTCCTGGTCCCTATCCCTGCCAGTGTAGCAGAAATGATGATGGCAGCAGCAGCCGTTCTTCTCTGCGTGAGTAGCTTAATGTTGTCTGTGTGTAATTTACGTTGAGTAGGCTAACCACGTTATTAAATTAATGCATGTAAGGTGAACTAGCGAACACCGTCGTAATTACATGCGGCTGTCTTCTTGTTTGATGGCAGATACTCCCTTCACCCTGGCCAAAAAGGCTAAAATGACCAAAGAAAAAGTGGAAAACAGCTAAACATGTGAGGTTTTTGGACAAAGTTTGTGTTTTTTTTCCATTGTTTAAGCACTGCTTCCAGCCAAGAGTGATGCCATATATGCCCCATAGCTGCAGAAAAGGCTAAGATTGTTATCTTTTTACAAAAAAACGGCTAAACATGAGAGGTTTTTGGACAAAGTTTGTGTTCTTCATTCTTTAAGCACCAGTTCGAGCACCATTTAAGCACCGGCACCATTTCCAAAGTACCGGTTTGACACTGGTATCGGATAAAACCTAAATGATACCCATCCCTAGTCCTGACTTCCCTGCTTACCTCTTGCGTTCTCACCACCTTCAGTTTCTGTTGTACCTTTTGCTCTCTTTTGTTCTCCATTCAAACATATATCTCATTTATTTGATCTTTCATCTTTCTTTCTCCCTGGCAACTGGAGGAAAGCCAAATTCTTCAGAGAGGCCAGATATGAGTTACTTTGCATTCCAGTCTTTTTTGAGGTGGACAGGTGGGTGGAGGCATGTGACTCTTCTGCAGACAGATCGCAACAAGATTTGAGAAAAATTCAAAGAAAACTATCTAAAGATAGTGGGAATTTTTTGAAAAACACCAGAAATAAGCAAAAATGGGACAGAGTGGGGGCTGTATTAACCCCGCCCCTCTTATTTTGGCCTGGAATAGGACGGGTAAGACGTGTCCCGGGGTGACCTATGAACAATAACAAACTTACTCTAATATTTGGTGCTATATATATAATTATATATATATAAACATACATGCATAAACTAGGTCTCATAGCATGCAACAGTAAAATTCTGTCTTTTTTACTATCTTGTTTTACACAAAGACGAACACCAAAAACTGCACTGTGGCATACTTTCACATGTACCCACACACAGAGAACTACAATCCTATTTAATCACAAGAATCCTGACTGGGAGCATTCCTGTCACATGCAGTTAGCACCATTTGCTTATTAGAGCAAACAATGGTACCTGTCAATTTCATTTTCACGAGCTCAGAGATTACAGAGCAATGTGCTTATCCTCTCTATCCAGTTCAGCGCACCGCAGTTTCTCTGCTTTCCCACGTCTAAAGCTGTACGTGAGTTAAGCAAACTGGTTGTCTGACGTTCTGCTGATCTTTCCCACTGAGCGCTGCTGCTACATAAACTTGTCCCTGAAACAACAAAAGAGGTCGTATGTAATCCATCCGCAGAGGACAGTTCTTGTTATTGTTCAGTGGCACTTTGCTTAGCAGCGTCACAACAGGGGGCACTTACTCACATTCATTTATTATTGCTAAGCTATCACAGAGGAGCCTCCATTCTGACCAGCTTTTATAACCCGCTCTACCTGAAAGTCTGCAGGGTTTTTTGCCATTACTAAATATACGCTGACTCAGCTTTGCAAACTCAGTGATCTCACTTGTAAAATGATTAATGACACATAAATGCACAGTATGCTTATGTAAATCAAAAGTTATGTGTAATGTGATTCTAAAACAGTTTGAAAATTTAGTGCAGTTTGCCCGAGCACTGTTTTGAAACTAAAGACACAAATATAAACCCAAAACAAACCGCTTAAAATGTGCTATATATTGTATTTGCATGTTGAGGTGTATCTACGAATATTAATCTGCTGTATATGTAGATCGCCGCTGCAGGGCTGGATTAGAGGGTGCTTACAGCTGTTTCTGTGGAACTCATGCACCTGCATTGTGTTTGTGTGCTTTTGTTTATGTTCAAAAAGCATTTGCATATGTGTGGAGAAAAGGATTGTATGAGCTTGTTTGTGCAGCATCTCAAATTCTTTGTGTGTGTGTGTGCATTTCCAGGTGGAGGAAGGAGGGGGCAGTTTGCAGCAGGAGACCAGAGAAAGAAATGAAGGAAACGGGAAGGAAATGACGAAGGCTTGCTCTCTGAAACAGCTAAGCTGCCACTCTCTCTTTATCATCCTGTATGGAAACCTGGAAAAACACACAAACACATAGGGTGTTGTTGTTGACTGCCATACAAAACACAGGATCTCAGGCACAGGATGATAAACAAAGAACATGGAGAGCAAATAGAATTGAAGAGGACACAATCAGAGAGACAACAGGAAAAAAACACTGTTGTGCCGATGGATAACAAGTGGGAAAGAGTCACAAAGAAGGAAGGTAAACAAGAAGTGGTAAATAACTGTTTTGATACTTGTGTTTTCTACACACAACAACCACAACAGCTGATCACTTCAATAATTTCTCCTTTCTTTTATTCAGAACTCATTTTGTCAAAGTCTGCATCTCATTTTTCAAACAGCTGTCACCTCCTTCTGCAAGTAAGCTCTTGAGCATCAAGAAATTGCCGAATGGGAGGTTATGCACACACACACACACACACACACACAGAGAGAGAAAAAGAATTGCAAATTTCATAGCTGATCACATGCCAAGGAAATTATTTCTGCGCATTCACTTAGGCAACCGTAGGAAGCCAGTTATTCCACACTGATAACCCGGAGGGCAGCGAGCAGGACTGGCGACATAAATATGGCTGTCGCCGTCAAAACACGACAGGCCGGGATCAAACAGCACCCGGAGATGTTTCCTATTGTTGGCCCGAACAGGCCTATAGCCCGAGATCAACAGTTAGAATTTCTCGTTGACCTTCGTGATCGAGAGAAGGATGATTCATCTGCAGAAGCCGACACAAAAACAAGACAGGAATGCCACAGGAAGGGCAAAGGTCACTGCAAGAATGCCACTGGCTTGTTTGTTATCATACTTTTGCATAAATGTGCTTTACACAACGTTTCTTAAGCAAACACACACACTTGACGGTTTCTGAAATCTGAATAATCTCATTACTTTGTATGTGTTTAAGGTGTGTTAGATCCTGTGCATAAAATGTTGAAATGTTACCCAAGGGTTTATAAAGCCTTTCAGCTTAATGAGTGCTTTAACATACTTAGCAGGAGTGTAAAGTGCCTGTAGCACCTACGACAACTGAGGAAGTTCAGGGTCTCTCCAGTGATCCTCAGGACTTTCTATACAGGCGCTGTGGACAGCATCCTCACACAGAACATCACATCCTGGTATGGAAACAGCTGTGTCAAGGATAAAAAAAGCTATTCAGAGAGTGATCTGTATGGCAAAACGCTGCTGCAGGACTGTTCTCCCTTCCCTACAGGACATTTACGTCAAGAGATGCTGGACTAGAGCAACTCAGATTTTGAAGGACCCGTCCCATCCCAGCCAGAGAGGCTCAAGAGGAGTTTTTATCCTCAGGCCATTCGTGTGTTGAATCAGTGTGCAGTTAACCAAACAGCAGTTGCGTTATGCGTAGCTGCATTCAGTGTACTCCAAAATAAATATGCACCTGGAACAGAGCAGAGAGGTCCAGTTCCTGATGCCATTCAGTAGCCATGCAAAGTTTAAACTATAAAAATGTGCACGGGTGACTCAACGGAGACTGACTTGTCTTTCTAGCCAGCTTTAAGCCACCTGCATTTTTTTCCCGGCTTGCTTGTCTGGTTTGCATGTTTGCATCCTTCAGTCAGGCTGTGTTTTTGTCCTAGGACACAATTATCCTTTTAATCTTCATCTGGGTGTGGCACCAGCTAAACATAGTACATTTTATTCTGTGCTATAATAGCAGTACATTTTCTGCCGCGTGAATTTTTTGGCACACAATAAAAGCCTTTGAATGATAAACTGTAGAGAACAACAAGCATTTTAAATGAGCCCACAGATAAATTGACACCCTATAATGGTATGCGCTGGTTGTCTAATAGTTTTAAAGTGAAAATCTGCTCTCTTCTACCAGTTAATAAAAGACAAAGTTCAACCTTTTCAGAAAGAAAACTTGCTGGTCTAAGCACACAATGTGAGGTTGCTCTTTCACATGAAAAATCCCCTGATGAAGAGGAAGTGATGGAGTTTTGTGTTCTTGGCAGCTACAACAGGTGATAAAATGAAGAAAAAACGTATTCATGGGATGATGAATTACAACCCTGGCTGCCCTTCAGTGTTTCAACAGTAATACTGAAACTGTAGTTATAAAAAACCGTAAAATTTGCGTTTACTGGCAACGTACCCAAGTCAAAGCTCACATTCACGTACTGCGGCTTTAAGGTTTACCTTCAGGCTGGCCAAGCCAAGTGACAAACTGGACATAGCAACAGGCAAGGGCACTGTGCGTTTCCTAGACTGTGTGTGGCTCGTGAGACCTGACGACATGCTAATTCCATGGAGGCAGCGTTGTAGGGAGGGGGTGGTGAGATTACCGTCTAGCCATCGAAGTCCAGAAAGGTTGCTCTGCTGTTTCCTGCAGCTCATGGGCTGTCTTAAGAGGTTTTAAGAGGCTTGGAAGAGATGAGCTGCCATCTGGCTAAATCTTGAACGGCTAACCACACGTGGTTGGTTAGGAATATGTCGACACTGCTGATGTGCCGTGATGCAGCAAAGGACTGCTGCTGACTCAAAACGAGGTTTCTTTTACCTGCTAGAAGAATGGAGTCTTCTGAACTAGAATCTAAACAATATATAAAATGTATGAGTTCATATGATGGCTCTTTATTTTTGTTTCCTTCCTATTTATAATAATAGCTGTGCAAAAAAATAAACCAGCTATAAGTACATAGGTAAGCACACTGGTGTTTTGATGATGGTGGAGAGCAATAAGCATACATAATCTCCCAAAGCTGTTAGTTTTAGTAGAGATCTCGAGACTTCAAACACCATACCATATGATTCACATGGATTTCATACACATTTAGTCACTTCCATTTAGTGGCATCTCTTATCCGATGGATCTGGGCATTATTTGTCAGCCTGAAAGAGACTGGTGGGACAGATGGTTTCAAACTATGCCAGAAAATGCCCCCCACAGCTCAGCATAGCTACTACATCCCCTCGCTGTAGGGGTCATGTACACAGTATGAGTTATTTGTAACAAGTAGTCCCTGGAAAGCAGTGCTAATGGGTGTATCTGTGTGATATGAACCACATAATCTGACATCACTCTTTTCTAATGAGCTTTTAATTATGAAAAATAAATAGAAAAGTTAAATTAGTTGTAGTTGACATTACATTGAAGAAATCAATCAATAGAAACTGTGAACCACAAACAGGGAATTTTACTGACAGTGCTGCCAGGTTGCATCATCAGGTTTGTAGGGTTGTGTCTGTTTACAGTTTCACATGTCACATCACTGTCAAGCATGGTCCAAGCCCTGCAGGGAGAGAGAAAGTGAAGGCACGCAGCCTTCACCCTACCAGTCTGCTCACATCTCTCAAAGAACTACGCAGTTTGCAATCACTTCATTTTGTCTTTGCTGTTTATTCTGGTTAACAGGTGAAATGATAATATTACTAGGAAAGCTACACCCACACTCTCAGTCAATTTCCTGCCACCAAGGAAAGCAGACTATGAGTCAATTACAGCAATGAGCGCTTTTCTGATGGCTCGATATGTGAAGTCCAAAATCCGTGTGACATTCTGACATCAGCCTTTACAAACCAGCACAGCACAGTTTACAATATCACCTGACTGTTTTGTGGCTTTATGTTGCATTCGACTTGTTTTTATTTCAGTGCAATATTAAGCCAGGCCTGGGCAATTAATTTTCTCAAGACGCTCAAAGAGAAAATGGGCCTATTTTGGAGAGCTCAATTTAATGATGTGGCCCTCTATACTAGTCCCAGTTTCTCATGTGACTGGTTTCTAGTCAAAGTGACAACAGAGACTCATTGCTGGAGTTTCTGTGAACAAAAGACTCAGTTTTCTGCACTTCCTTCTTGCAGACACATGGTTTGGGCAGTGTGCCCACAGCAGAGATACTTAATGACGCTCTATTCATGAGGTATCTTCTGACCTCTTGATCATGAGAATGGGGTGAAGAGGTTAGTGATTACAAACGGACTCAACCCCATAAACTTGTGGCATCAAACTGATGCATGTAGGTGAAAGGCAGTTACTTGGAATGTGCTTGTGAGCAAGGCGTTCCTTCCCCCGGTCCCAAGATTGATACTAATGATGACAGTTTACTATATGATGCCAAGAAGTGAAAGTGTGTCTAATATTTTGTCTATAGTCAGTGATGTAAATTGAGTATGCATATATTACCCCTATGCATCAGGTCCTTTATTTATGACACCTTTATCTTGACAGACAATAAACCCATTAGACCTGTGAGCACGCCCAGGCTGTGTATTGATCAGCTTTGAGCTGTCTATAGGATCCTTTTGGATGTCAAATGAAGAGGCAATGATCCCATCTGACAGCCCTTCCCTGTCGATACCTGGTGGCAGCATGCCTTAACACAATGCACTGCAAAGAATTGATCTAAACACAGAGCTCAGGATCTATTAGTGGTGATGGGTATTTACAGATCACATGTAATCAGTTTTGAATGATCAGATTACAAAACATGAGTAACTATACGGGCTAACCATGACACTGAAACTACCTGCCTGTTGCCACTGTACTTTTAAAACAGCTCTAATCCTTCGCACAGGACCAGAGGTGTGTCCTGTGGTATCATGAACAAAGATGCTCCAGCAGATCCTTTGGTTCCTCATGGTGGATAGCAGAACTCCGTGGATCTGGACAACAATCTGCAACACTGCATTGTAAAAAGATGCTGTTATTGTATTTGTCAGGGGCGTAATCATCAGGGTAACTATGTGCTGAACATTGGGGGGGGGTCAAGATCTCTGTCTAAATAAATAAATAAATCTGGGCAAATTCCCAGATGATTAAACATGCAACTATTTTGCTGGCAATACCTGAAATGAGTAAAGAAAATCAACAGCCTATTTATGCAAGATAATTCATAATTTTATTGGGGGGGGGTTATTTTGGTTGGGTCCGATTATTGGGGGGTCGTGACCCCCCTAACCCCCCCTGGAAATTACGCCCCTGGGCTTAATTACCCCAAGATGTGTAACTGGATTTTATTAGCATTAGCAAGAACTAGCTAATTTAATCTGAAGATACTGATATTAGAATAATTTTTTAAACTCAATGGATTGCATCAATAATTACAAATAAATCCCATGTACTGTTTATTCCGACAGGGAGACTTTTTAGAATCTTTTATGTGCAGCTTAAAGAACGAACACCTCAGCACAAAGGGGGCTGGAGCTTTCATAATGAAATGTCAGGTTTTGAGATAACAGGTATTCATAAATATCCAGCTAGGGCTCAGACCTTTACGCTTTGAGGTGAGCGTGAAACATATAAATACATTTATGCACTGTCTTCCACTGATATGGCACTGGTGCCTGAAGAGTTCCTGTCAGCAGATAAAAGCCGAAAAACTCACAGGTGCATGCATCCACACAAAAACACATGTGCGTCCTATGGGACAAAGCCTGAGAACTGATATTTTGGACACTGCACCTGTTTCCTGCTTGGATCTGAAACAGGAAAACTACCCATGTGGATTTCACCATAGTTTCCTCATATTTGGAGAGACCTGAAAAATCGTCTGCAGTATCTGGTGAATAAAGTTTTGCAAAACCTACTCACCATCCTCTTTGTTCAGTGAACATAAAAGAAGAGAAAAGCAAGAGTTCAGTGGGGGGTAGATGTACCTCCCTCCACACAAACCACACTGATGTGTATCTCATTAAAACACCCAAAACACTCACAAATCTCATACTGGATTCTGATTTTCTGCTCTGACAGCGCGCCTGTCTGAGGGTCACCCCGTGATTTTTTTTCTCCCTGTCCTCTGTTATTATTCCATTTCCTCCCTGTGAACGGAAAGACCAAAATAACCCTGCTGAAATCTGTGGCTCTCCAGGGGCAGAGCCTTTGTGTTGGAGCAAGTGGAAAACAAGAGCAGCGGTGGCTGAATGGGACACTGCGAGATCTAGAGTTTCAAGGCCTCCTGGGGCTCGGTGCATAGATACAGACACGGGTCATTACATGATCAGACTGTATGGAGACCAACTGGGAAGTGTCATGCGAGACACTGAGCATGTACAATTCACAGAGGAAACTGTAAGCTGGAATCTTATCTGAGGCTGAATGACAGGGTGCAGATGAAATA